TGGTGGTGTGGTGGTGGTGGTGGTGATGTGGTGTTGGTGGTGGTGGTGTGTGGTGTTGTTGGTGGTGGTGGTGGTGGTGCTGGTGGTGGTGGTAGTGGTAGTAGTAGTGGTAGTGGTGGTGGTAGTAGTGGTAGTAGTAGTGGTAGTGGTGGTGGTGGTGTTGGTGGTGGTAGTGGTGGTGGTGCTGGTGGTGGTGATGTGTTGTTGGTGGTGGTGGTGTTGTTGGTGGTGATGTGGTGATGGTGGTGGTGGTGGTAGTAGTAGTGGTAGTGGTGGTGGTGGTGGTGGTGGTAGTGGTGGTGGTGGTGATGTGGTGGTGGTGGTGGTGAGGTGGTGTTGGTGGTGGTGGGGTGGTGGTGGTGGTGGTTGTTGGGGTGGTGCTGGTGGTGGTGGTGTGTTGTTGGTGGTGGTGGTGGTGGTGTTGTGTTGGTGGTGGTGGTGTGTGGTGTTGGTGTTGGTGGTGGTGGTAGTGGTAGTAGTAGTGGTGGGAGTGGTGGTGGTGGTGGTGTTGTTGGTGGTGTTGTGGTGGTGGTGGTGGTAGTAGTGGTAGGGGTGGTGGTGGTGTTGGTGGTTGTAGTGGTGGTGGTGCTGGTGGTGGTAGTGGTGGTGGGGCTGGTGGTGGTGATGTGTTGGTGGTGGTGGTGGTAGTAGTGGTAGTCGTGGTGGTGGTGGTGGTGGTGGTGGTGGTAGTAGTGGTAGTAGTAGTGGTAGTGGTGGTGGTAGTAGTGGTAGTGGTAGTGGTGGTGGTGGTGTTGGTGGTGGTAGTGGTGGTGGTGGTGGTGTGGTGGTGATGGTGGTGGTGGTGGTGGTGATGTGGTGTTGGTGGTGGTGGTGTGTGGTGTTGTTGGTGGTGGTGTGGTGGTGGTGGTGGTGTGGTGGTGGTGGTGGTGGTGGTGATGTGGTGTTGGTGGTGGTGGTGGTGTGGTGTTGGTGGTGGTGGTGGTGATGTGGTGTTGGTGGTGGTGGTGGTGTGGTGGTGGTGGTTATGTGGTGTNTATGTGAATGGTGGTGGTGGTGGTGGTGATGGTGGTGGTAGTGATGGGTGGTGGTTGTGGTGTGGTGGTTGTGGTGTGGTGGTGGTTGTGTGGTGTGTTGGTGTGGTGGTGGTGGTGTGGTGGTTGTGGTGTGGTGGTGGTGTGTTGTGGTGGTGGTGGTGGTGTGGTGGTGTGGTGGTGGTGTGGTGGTGTGGTGATGTGGTGGTGTGGTGGTGGTGGTGTGGTGGTGGTGGTGTGGTGGTGTGGTGTGGTGGTGGTGTGGTGGTGGATATGTCTATGAAGTTTCATTACATATTCTGTAATACATTGTTATCAGTTATGGTAGTGTGGCCACAAAAAGTTTGATTTGAAATCTGACCTCAATTCATGACCTTAATTCCCAAGTATCCCAAGAGCACTACAATTGGCACAAATTACATATACATTAACGTACATGCATAGATTACATAAAATAACATTGGTCTGTTAAAAAAATGCCAACAGTTTAATATCAAAAAAGAAAATAACAAACAAAATGACTAAAGATCACAAAAAAAGCAATTATATTGTCCTTCGATTGAATTATGAACTAACCATCCCTTAAATTAAAGTACAGCTTACAAAAATAGGTATATATTGTATTTAGGAATATAACTTAATTGGATATATATAAAAGACAATTACAACTGCCTAAAACAATGAATTAAAAGCACAAGAAACACTTTAAGACAATGCAGACAGTGTAAAGAACATATTTCAATAACAACTGTAGTTGACAGTTTAAAGTTCAGTTTAACAAGAACTGATTCAAACTTCTAGTACATTGCAACAGTCAAACAATTTTGTTGGATCTCTTTTGAGAATTGTTAGGTATCCATCAGACTGACAATTTCTGACATAAAAGTAACATTAACTGATAAAAGTGACAACAGAACTCTTAAACACGTGAACACAAACTATCTTTAAAACAGTCATAAACAAGAGGCCCATAGGGCCTGTATCGCTCACCTGAATATGTTTAAAATAATTGGTATGAAGTAAAGATATAGCACTCCATGGTAGGTGCTGTTAGTACAGATGAAATTTCAGAAAGATCCATCAAGTACTTGAGATATAGCGAGAACAAACTTCAAACAGAGCCCCACCCCTAAGCCCCTAGGGGGTCATACCCATCAATTATACAAAATTGAGTCCCCTTGGCCCAAGGATGCTCCAGACTAAATAACGATAAAATTTCTTAATCCTGATGGTCAAAGAAGGATTTTAAAGGTTTTATCTCTATTTCTCCTATTGGGCCCGCCCTTCTGCCCCCTGGAAGACTACACCCACTGCTTATACAAAATTGAGTCCCCTTGACCCAAGGATGCTTCATACCAAATTTGGACAAAAGCCTGTCATTCCTACAGAAGAAAACGGATTTTGAAGCTTTACCTCTATTTCCCCGATTGGGCCCCTCCCTTCTGCCCCCAGGGAGGCCACACTTGCTGTTTATATGAAATTGAGGCCCTTTTGCCCCAGGATGCTCCAGACTGAATAAGGATAAAATCAGTTAATCCCTATGGTAGAAGAAGGATTATAAAGGTTTTATCTCTATGTAATTTATACAAAATTGGATCCTTTTAAGCCAAGGATGCTTCAGACTAAATATGGAACATATCCTTTCATTCCTACAGAAGAAGAAGGATTTTAAAGAATTTGCTATATTTCCCCTATTGGGCCCCGCTACTCAGGCCCCTATGGGGCCAGACCCATGGTTTATACAAAATTAGTTTCCCTTTTCCCAAGGATGCTCCACACCAAATATGGACCAAATACTTTCATTCCTACAGAAGAAGGATTTAAAAGAATAATTTCCTGTTTCCCCTATTGGGCCCCGCCCCTTAGGCCCCTGGGGGGCCAGATACACCATTTATAGAAAATTGGGTCTTCTCCCCCCAAGGATGCTCCACACCAATTTTGTTACAATCCGCTCAGTGGTTCATGACTAGTAGTGTTAAGTTGACGGACGACGGACGACGGACGCAAGACGACGGACGCTGCGGTATAGCATAAGCTCACCATGGTCCTCCCGACCAGGTGAGCTAAAAAAGTTAATCTAACAGTATATTCCAGTGTATTGAACCACAGTATAAATACACATTTATCTACATTTTGAACACAAAATAAACATATAACTCATATTTGGTGATAATTAACTTACAGTTTTTAACTGACAATATATGAACACAGTCCCGATTTCTTTAGTCAGAACCAAACTTTGATGGCTGCTCGCTTCACAGACATCAATATAGCTGTTTATCCAGGTAAACATACGCTAGCTTACCATAGTAAAGGATTCAATATAACTGTGTAACAAGGTAACACCTTAATGCTTTTAAAATCCATAGATTCACATTTGAAAGGCACAGTTCAGGAAAGTTATTTTTAAGACAGATTTTTTTTTTTAATATTTTGATGAAGTGATAAAATTAAAATTAAATTAGAATAATGTTTTCCTTTAGTAAACTGAAGTATGATAACAAAATTACTTTTTACTTTGGAAACAAACTATGATACTTTTAAATTCCATCTGATATAATATTTCACTGTTACAGAACCAGCAACTTATATATATAACAATAATATCACCTTATATATCAATCCCTGAAATGAATAATAATGCTGACTCTCTGATGTAGATTTCACCTCCCCCCTTCTATATTTTTTTCAATATTTGAGCTTTTTTCATTACAATTTATTGTGTATAATCTGCTTGTTTATTATTATTTTTATAAATTTCTGTTAGATATCAACAATATTGTAAAGCTTTGATGAAAAAATATCAAATAATTATAATTAATTAATATTACAGGGGAGGAAGGGAGATAACTTTGCACTATATTCTGAGAAAATGATTTTCTATTTGAACATCATGATATTTATCTAGAAACATGAACGTAAAAAAATCTTACTCTGAACAAATATTTTCTGAGTTTACAAATGTAGGATACTTGATTTCAAAAAGTATAATTTAGATTACAAATATTAATTAGCAATGAATTAAATGATATGTACAAGTAATGGCATATAAATAATGAATTCTTCAAATACTGTCCATAAAGTATAGCCATTGTTACATGTACAAATGTATGTTATGGAACAGACAGTTGTGGATGAAAACAGTTCTGCTTGGAAAAAACGATAATATTCATTGTCAAGATATCATTCATGGCCAACTGTGAAAATTAAATAAACCAATACGTTTTATATAAATTGAATACAGCTATATTGTGTAAAAAATTATACAAGTCTGTCCATCACCAATCCATGTGGCCTGTACTGTTATTATGCTGTGAAGGCCTTCAGTCCTGATTGAACCGGTCATTCCATGGTGGACGCTCCACTACTGGAACTTGTTCATGCTTCTTGGCACTCTTTGGTTTCTTGTTTGGCTGCAGAGAGTAAATTAATGCTTAATTTATTCATGCTCATTTTCCCCACTAAATTATAGGTATGTGAGAGTATATTAAATGGAAACGTAATAAATATTTGGTGAACTTGTTTAATATATTAAATATAAATACAAAGTTTTATTGGTAATATACTTACTAACGTTTGCTACTACAGCACTACAAGGAATTTAACAGCAAAGAAAACTAGCTTCATTAAGTTAACAGTTTACATTATTCTCCTCTCTGAGGATATCTATAAGCAGAAAAATAATTGTCTTAAGTCACTATTAAAAGCATTACAAGAATTTTAACAGTAACAAAACTAGCTTTAGTCAACAATTCAATCCTTTCCTTTGAGGATGTCCTAAACGCAGAAATTAGTTAACGTGACGAAAAACAAAATTGATTTGTTTTAGAAAACATTAACAAGAGGCCCAATGGGCCTGCATCGCTCACCTGTTATTAATCTAACACTTGTAATCTTAAGATTTCATAAGAACCTATTAAAAGATTTAAACATATGACGCCTCTGACCTTGATTGTCGAACAAGGACATTAGGTTGAAAGTGGATCAAGGTCATTCATTTGAACTAACATGGTAGTCCTTCATCCCAGCATGCTACAGGCCCAATTTCAGTACCCTGGCCCTTTTGCTTATTGAAAAGAAGTCGCTTGAAGATTTTACGACATTTGACCCCTGTGACCTTGAAAGTTGGTCAAGGTCATTCAGTTGAACAAACTTGATAGTCCTTCATCCCAGCATGCTACAGGCCCAATATCAGTACCCTGGGCCTTTTGGTTATTGAGAAGAAGTTGTTTGAAGATTTTAAGACATCTGACCCCAGTGACCTTGAAAGTGGGTCAATGTCATTCATTTAAACAAACTTGGTAGCCCTTCATCCCAGCATGCTACAGGCCCAATATCAGTACCCTGGGCCTTTTGGTTATTGAGAAGAAGTCGTTTGAAGATTTTATGACATTTGACCCCTTTGACCTTTGAAAGTTGGTCAAGGTCATTCATTTGAACTAACTTGGTAATCCTTCATCCCAGCATGCTACAGGCCCAATTTCAGTACCCTGGCCCTTTTGCTTATTGAAAAGAAGTCGCTTGAAGATTTTACGACATTTGACCCCTGTGACCTTGAAAGTTGGTCAAGGTCATTCAGTTGAACAAACTTGATAGCCCTTCATCCCAGCATGCTACAGGCCCAATATCAGTACCCTGGGCCTTTTGGTTATTGAGAAGAAGTTGTTTGAAGATTTTAACATATTTGACCCCTGTGACCTTGAAAGTGGGTCAAGGTCATTTATTTGAACAAACTTGGTAGCCCTTGATCCAAGCATGCTAATGGCCAAATATCATCTTCCTAGGCCTTTTGGTTACCGAAAAGAAGTTGTTTAAAGCAAAAAGTTGACGTCGGACAGACGGACGCCGGACGGACGGACAGACGACGGACGCCGCACCATAACATAAGCTCACTTGCCCTTCGGGCAGGTGAGCTAAAAATGACAGATTTAGGGACCAATAATCAGTCATTAGAATGACTTTATAACAAAAGATGCAAAATAGGAAATAATGATTTACTATGAACAAGACGGTATGTTATTAATACATTAACTACTGTATTCATCCAGCAATAAGCCCATGCCTAGTTTTAAGCCAACCATTATTTTATGAAGTTCAGTAGAAATGCTAAAAATGTTTTTTCATTCCACGTTATAAGCCTCCCCCTAACACACACACTTTGAGTCAGAAATTATATGTTGCCCCCTCCCCCCTCCTCCTATTCCAGGGCTTATTGCAGAATAAATACATCATATAAAAAAAAAAGGATAAACAAAAACATGCTAAGTAAGTGAAAGCTGGGCTTCATTTACACAAAACTTCTTTACAGTTTCGTCATTTCTAAAATATAATAAAGATTCAGCACAGCTCCCTGGCTTATTCATGTTTCACTTGTTTTAGAATGTTGTTTAGATACATTATGTATCAGGCTTTTATTTCTCATTTATACAAATGCCATATTTAAGTCTCCAGCATTGCTATGATTTGGTATTACTTCTGGGACTTTTAATGGAGCACAGAATCCATGGTACCTTGTAAATCCATAACTTAGAACCTCAAGAAGTTTGTTTCATAACAAAGCTTACAAAAAGGTGTAACCCACAATGTTTGTGTTATTAACACTTTGAAAATTTTATGAAATTCAACATTTTTTTTTAAATTCAGAAGTTTTATGAACATTCAGGGTGTTATCAAATATATATGTAAGTGTGCATGCGAGCAAAGCTAAGCAATAAATCTGAATAATAAAATATCTCAATCAATAATCAACCATGCAATATATATATATATATAACTAGAATAGTGTTTTCTACATTCAAACTCAACACTACTGGTATTATATATCACAAAATAAAGCTATTATAAAGAAAAAGAAATTTTAATAAAAGACTGATTGCAGCATATTATATGTAAACAGATGATTTTACCCCACTACTAAATAATACAGTAAGGAGAGTAATCTCAATATCATGCTATGAAAAAGAAGTATTGCAGAAACATATTCATATATGTATGACAACAGTGTCCACACAACAGCAAGCTTGTATGACGACAGTGTCCACACCACAAAAAGCTTGTATGACGACAGTGTCCACACAACAAAAAGCTTGTATGACGACAGTGTCCACACCGCAACAAGCTTGTATGACGACAGTGTCCGCACAACAGCAAGCTTGTATGACGACAGTGTCCACACCGCAACAAGCTTGTATGACGACAGTGTCCACACCACAACAAGCTTGTAGGACGACAGTGTCCACACAACAGCAAGCTTGTAGGACGACAGTGCCCACACAACAGCAAGCTTGTATGTCAACAGTGTCCACACAACAGCAAGCTTGTATGACGACAGTGTCCATACAACAGCAAGCTTGTAGGACGACAGTGTGCACACAACAGCAAGCTTGTATGACGACAGCGTCCACACAACAGCAAGCTTGTAGAACGACAGTGACCACACAACAGCAAGCTTGTATGACGACTGTGTCCACACAACAGCAAGCTTGTAGAACGACAGTGCCCACACAACAGCAAGCTTGTATGACGACGGGGTCCACACCACAACAAGCTTGTATGCCGACAGTGTCCACACAACAGCAAGCTCGTAGGACGACAGTGCCCACACAACAGCAAGCTTGTATGTCGACAGTGTCCACACAACAGCAAGCTCGTATGACGACAGTGTCCACCCAACAGCAAGCTTGTAGGACGACAGTGTCCATACAACAGCAAGCTTGTAGGACAACAGTGTCCACACAACAGCAAGCTTGTAGGAAGACAGTGTCCACACAACAGCAAGCTTGTAGGATGACAGTGTGCACACAACAGCAAGCTTGTAGGACGACAGTGTCCACACAACAGCAAGTTTGTAGGACGACAGTGTCCACACAACAGCAAGCTTGTAGGATGACAGTGTCCACACAACAGCAAGCTTGTAGAACGACAGTGTCCACACAACAGTTAAGGACAAATGAAAACAGTGTCCACACAACAGTTAAGGTCAAATGACAACAGTGTCCACAGAACAGTTAAGGTCAAATGACAACAGTGTCCACAGAACAGCTAAGGTCAAATGACAACAGTGTCCACAGACCAGTTAAGGTCAAATGACAACAGTGTCCACAGAACAGTAAAGGTCAAATGACAGCAGTGTCCACAGAACAGTAAAGGTCATATGACAACAGGTCAAATGACAACAGAGTCCACAGAACAGTAAAGGTCAAATGACAACAGTGTCCACAGAACAGTTAAGGTAAAATGACAACAGTTTCCATAAAACAGCTAAGCTCATATGACAACAGTGTCCACAGAACAGCTAATCTCATATGACAACAGTACCCACAGAACAGTTAAGGTCAAATGATAACAGTTTCCATAGAACAGTTAAGGTCAAATGACAACAGTGTCCAAAAAACAGCTTAGCTCATATGACAACAGTGTCCACAGAACAGCTAAGGTCAAATGACAATTATGTCCACAGAACAGTTAAGGTCAAATGACAACAGTGTCCAAAAAACAGCTAAGCTCATAAGACAACAGTGTCCACAGAACAGTTAAGGTCAAATGACAACAGTGTCCACAGAACAGTTAATGTCAAATGACAACAGTGTCCACAGAACAGCTAATTATAAGGTCATATGACAACAGTGTCCACAGAACAGTTAAGCAGAACAGTTAAGGTCAAATGACAACAGGGCCCAAAAAACAGCTAAGCTCATAAGACAACAGTGTCACAGAACAGTTAAGGACAAATGACAACAGTGTCCACAGAACAGCTGATTATAAGGTCATATGACAACAGTGTCCCGAGAACAGTTAAGGTCAAATGTCAACATTGTCCACAGAACAGCTAAGGTCTTATGACAACAGTGTGCACAGAACAGCTAAGGTCAAATGACAAAAGTGTCCACAGAACAGCTAAGCTCATAAGACAACAGTGTCCACAGGACAGTTAAGGTCAAATGACAACAGTGTCCAAAGAACAGCTAAGCTCATAAGACAACAGTGTCAACAGAACAGTTAAGGTCAAATGTCAACAATGTCCACAGAAAAGCTAAGGTCATATGACAACAGTGTCCACAGAACAGCTTAGCTCATATGACAATAGTGTCCAAAGAATAGCTAAGGTCATATGACAACAGTGTCCACAGAACAATTAAGGTCAAATGTCAACAGTGTCCACAGAACAGCTAAGGTCATATGACAACAGTGTCCACAGAACAGTTAAGGTCAAATGACAACAGTGTCCACAGAACAGTTAAGGTCAAATGTCAACAGTGTCCACAGAACAGCTAAGGTCATATGACAACAGTGTCCACAGAACAGTTAATGTCATAAGACAACAGTGTCCACAGAACAGCTAAGGTCATATGACAACAGTGTCCACAGAACAGTTAAGGTCAAATGACAACAGTGTCCACAGAACAGCTAAGGTCAAATGACAACAGTGTCCACAGAACAGTTAATGTCATAAGACAACAGTGTCCACAGAACAGCTAAGGTCATATGACAACAGTGTCCACAGAACAGTTAAGGTCAAATGACAACAGTGTCCACAGAACAGCTAAGGTCAAATGTCAACAGTGTCCACAGAACAGCTAAGGTCATATGACAACAGTGTCCACAGAACAGTTAATGTCATATGACAACAGTGTCCACAGAACAGCTAAGGTCATATGACAACAGTGTCCACAGAACAGTTAAGGTCAAATGACAACAGTGTCAACAGAACAGCTAAGGTCAAATGACAACAGTGTCCACAGAACAGTTAATGTCATAAGACAACAGTGTCCACAGAACAGCTAAGGTCATATGACAACAGTGTCCACAGAACAGTTAAGGTCAAATGACAACAGTGTCAACACAACAGCTAAGGTCAAATGACAACAGTGTCCACAGAACAGTTAATGTCATAAGACAACAGTGTCAACAGAACAGCTAAGGTCATATGACAACAGTGTCCACAGAACAGTTAAGGTCAAATGACAACAGTGTCCACAGAACAGTTAAGGTCAAATGTCAACAGTGTCCACAGAACAGCTAAGGTCATATGACAACAGTGTCCACAGAACAGTTAATGTCATAAGACAACAGTGTCCACAGAACAGCTAAGGTCATATGACAACAGTGTCCACAGAACAGTTAAGGTCAAATGACAACAGTGTCCACAGAACAGTTAAGGTCAAATGTCAACAGTGTCCACAGAACAGCTAAGGTCATATGACAACAGTGTCCACAGAACAGTTAATGTCAAATGACAACAGTGTCCACAGAACAGCTAAGGTCATATGACAACAGTGTCCACAGAACAGTTAAGGTCAAATGACAACAGTGTCCACAGAACAGCTAAGGTCAAATGACAACAGTGTCCACAGAACAGTTAATGTCATAAGACAACAGTGTCCACAGAACAGCTAAGGTCATATGACAACAGTGTCCACAGAACAGTTAAGGTCAAATGACAACAGTGTCCACAGAACAGCTAAGGTCAAATGACAACAGTGTCCACAGAACAGTTAATGTCATAAGACAACAGTGTCCACAGAACAGCTAAGGTCATATGACAACAGTGTCCACAGAACAGTTAAGGTCAAATGACAACAGTGTCCACAGAACAGCTAAGGTCAAATGACAACAGTGTCCACAGAACAGTTAATGTCATAAGACAACAGTGTCCACAGAACAGCTAAGGTCATATGACAACAGTGTCCACAGAACAGTTAAGGTCAAATGACAACAGTGTCCACAGAACAGCTAAGGTCAAATGACAACAGTGTCCACAGAACAGTTAATGTCATAAGACAACAGTGTCCACAGAACAGCTAAGGTCATATGACAACAGTGTCCACAGAACAGTTAAGGTCAAATGACAACAGTGTCCACAGAACAGCTAAGGTCAAATGACAACAGTGTCCACAGAACAGTTAATGTCATAAGACAACAGTGTCCACAGAACAGCTAAGGTCATATGACAACAGTGTCCACAGAACAGTTAAGGTCAAATGACAACAGTGTCCACAGAACAGCTAAGGTCAAATGACAACAGTGTCCACAGAACAGTTAATGTCATAAGACAACAGTGTCCACAGAACAGCTAAGGTCATATGACAACAGTGTCCACAGAACAGTTAAGGTCAAATGACAACAGTGTCAACAGAACAGCTAAGGTCAAATGACAACAGTGTCCACAGAACAGTTAATGTCATAAGACAACAGTGTCCACAGAACAGCTAAGGTCATATGACAACAGTGTCCACAGAACAGTTAAGGTCAAATGACAACAGTGTCCACAGAACAGCTAAGGTCAAATGACAACAGTGTCCACAGAACAGTTAATGTCATAAGACAACAGTGTCCACAGAACAGCTAAGGTCATATGACAACAGTGTCCACAGAACAGTTAAGGTCAAATGACAACAGTGTCCACAGAACAGCTAAGGTCAAATGACAACAGTGTCCACAGAACAGTTAATGTCATAAGACAACAGTGTCCACAGAACAGCTAAGGTCATATGACAACAGTGTCCACAGAACAGTTAAGGTCAAATGACAACAGTGTCAACACAACAGCTAAGGTCAAATGACAACAGTGTCCACAGAACAGTTAATGTCATAAGACAACAGTGTCCACAGAACAGTTAAGGTCAAATGACAACAGTGTCCACAGAACAGTTAATGTCATAAGACAACAGTGTCCACAGAACAGTTAAGGTCAAATGACAACAGTGTCCACAGAACAGCTAAGGTCAAATGACCACTGCTTACAGAATAGTTTATGTCAAATGACAACAGTGTTTACACTCAAACAGTTAAGGTCTTATGACGACAGTGTTGACAGAACAGCTAAGGTCATATGACAACAGTGTCCACAGAACAGTTAAGGCCTTTAATGTTATCATACAAAGGAAAATACTTTAGAGAACATATATGATCATGCTGTTGATAGATCCAAAACAGTAAATGAACCAATCACCCACTGCTTTACATAAATGGGTGTTGTGATTGAAAAAATAAATTGGCATTACATGAACCAATTGTTTGGCATGTTTCAGCAAATTACAATCTTTGCAGTGTGGTAGTGCTTATCTTTCAGAACAAAGAACCACTGTTTATAAGTTTTCTTTTGAATATTTGGAGCAAGACATGCGGGGGT